AGAACCTTCAGTGATTGTGAGAGCTAAACTTCCTTCCTTCTTAGGTACATCCATCTTCATGGACTGTGTCCTAAGTTCATAGGCAGTAAGATTTCCAATCAATTCATCCAGTGGGAGAGTGGCAATATTCTTTGATTCCAGGATGCTAGTGATTTTGCTCTCCCAAGTGATAGGTAAGACTCTAGTCAATATCTTTTCGACCTTTTCTTCTTCAGGAATAATCCTTCCAAGAGATTTCAGCTTATTTGTCAGTGTAGTGAACCTTGTGTACATCTCTTGAATGGTTTCTCCTTCCTTCATAGCAAAACTCTCATATTGAGAGTACAGTAGAGTTCCTCTAGATCTCTTCACCTGAGGTGTTCCTTCATGTGTGTCCCATATTTTCTTAGCAGTTGTACAACCTTAGATCTGTTGTACTCATCTGGACAAGTCCACAAACAAACCATTTCTTGGCTTTAGCATTCTTCTCCCACTTCCTCAAGCCTTCAGCGGTGCAATCAGCTCTTGTCTTAGGCACATCTACTCCTTCAATATTTTTCTTCAAGGTAGCCAATGGACTATTAGTGACAATGTCTTATAGCTCGTGGTCCTCTCCTATAATGTGATCTCTCATCATATTTTTCCACCAAGAGTAGTACTGACCATTAAAGAGTGGTGGCCTAGCAGTGGATTGCTCTTCCTAGTTTTCAGGTGGTGCACTCATGTTGATCTTCTCCTAAGGTGTAAGCCTTTTCAAGGATAATCCACTCTGATATCAATTGATGTTTTATACTTCAATATCACACAAGAGGGAGTGATTTGTGTGGTGTCCAAGTTTTCGCGTATTCAGGTTATAGAAGGACCTAGTTCTTCTATGTATTCCTTATACTACTATTACAAAAATAATAAATGCGGAAAGTAAAGAACATAAGTATTTTTACGTGGAAAACACTCGGCTCAAAAGGTGAAAAAACCACGACCTACTACTCAGTAGGATTTTTTCCAATTACTTCACTAAATCACTTAGCCAGAACAACATTTACAAAACTCTTTGTAAACCTAAGAATTACCTCTAATCCCATTGTGGCAACCAGCCTCTAACTGTTGCGACAACTTCAAGTTAACTCTAACTTGAATACTCAGAATACCAAATACAATTGCTTCTAGATAAAGTTGAAAGGTACAATTTGAAAACAGTTACTACAACTGAACTAGAATAAAAGATAGACACTTGGAACTGGTTCTTCTATCTGGTTCATGTAGCTTCAAGTTCGCACACTTGAATCACACAAGAATTGCTTGCAAAATGCCTTGCTATTTTGCTCTCAACTCACGTTTAACTTCAGCTTTTGTGTGTACCTGTAAAGTGAGAACATCCTGCAATTTATAGAGTTAGTGGAATAGGAAATAACTAGAGCTCCAATGTTATACTCTTCCTTGATGGAAGAGTTCTAGTTAACCTCAACTTCTAACTCTTTCCTTATCTTGTATAGTGTTTTCTTTGAGTAAGGAGTCCGTCTCCTTATCAATTATGCAATCTTTTCGATCAGGAGATATCAGATATAACAAGTTAAACTTATCTCCTCCACTTGCATCCCTTATGCATGAATCTGCCTGTGTCTGTGTACACTATAAATGGATATGGTTAATGCTAGAGTTCATTTGTCAATCTTTAAAACCAACTTTACTTGGGCCAAACTACCACTCAATTCTTACATTGGTGGCTCGTTCTTTAAATTAGTTAGAAAATTATCACTGAAGATCGAATTTCTGCACCTTCAAAATTATAAAGTAGCCGTCCTACCAATAAACTACCACTCAATTCTCAAATTGGTGATTCTTTTCTTTCTACAAATATTTTGTAAATTACAATTATGATCTCCTTTTTGTTTTTTGGGGGAGGGGAAGAAGGGTACAATTGTTTGTTTGACTATATGCCTCTATGTAAAATGTCTCAAAATTACACAAATAGCCCTTAACGTGGATGATCTTGAGTTTTTATCCTTGCTTGCCTCATGAGTAAAACGTCAAATTTAATAAGTGTTGTCCCTTACTAATCTCATGGGCAATGCTTTTAACTTTTTATCTTGAAGTTCTACCCATGAGGCAAGTAATGGTCAAAAATTAAAGACCATCCCAAAAAGTATCATATTCTGCAATTTTTTCCTTAGTTATGATACAAATGCTAATGCCTAAAGATATCAAGTAGCCACTTTTAAGCTCGTTGTTTAAATATACTCATAGTTTACAATGTATTTAAAGATTAGCCAATTCGCTCGAATTTCAGGACAAGACGTCCTAAAGTTTAAACCTCAAATCCAAACTCTAAGACATCGTGTCCTAAAGTTCAAAAATTGTGTCTAGAAGTTCGAATCTTATGTCCTAAATTTTAAATTATTAGTTCAAGAATTCAGGACCCTTAGTTCTAAATTTCAAATTAACAGCTCGAAAGTTCAAGACACCATGTCCTGAATTCCAAATTTTGGATACTTAGTCATGAAGTTTGGATGAATTAGTTAATCTTTAAATATTTTGTAAATTATGAATATATTTTAAACACCGGACTCAAAAATGGCTAGTGGTGCACTTCGGCTTGTTCCTTAACGAAGCTAAATAGGACTGAACTTAGCGGCCTAGGCAAAAACCAAATCCAACCAAGTACATTTAATTACCAAAAACCCCCATCTAAAACCCTTAATTGATTGAGAAAAAACACAAATCAAACTTTCATCAATCGGAAATTATAACTTCTCCAATGGCTCTAAGCCTGAGAAAAGCAGCCGGAGCCTCTACACTGTTCAAATACCTAAGCCCCAAATCCCATTTAACCACCGCCACACCTTCGATCACACGCCTTTTTTCCTCTACTACCACCTCAGATTCAGATTCCACGAGCAAGGAGCAAAGCAACTCTCCAGAGCCAAGTAATTGATTCACCTGTTTAGCCCTTTTCTTATTTACCGTTTTATATTATGCGATATTTGCACATTTACATTCGGTAAATATTTTAGGTTTAATTAGTTGTTTGTTGACACATTAAATTACGCCCACTCTTTTTAGTTTAGTAAGAGATTGATAATAGTATAGAAGTTAGTGTTAGATTTAGGTAATATTGCTAATTTTTTTAATTAAAGTGGAACCGAAAAAAAAAACCAAAAATGTAGCCTAGTGCTTCGGTCGAGTGGTAAGAGCACAAGACGCGATGCATGGTTAGGTGCAAGTCAAGAGTTCGAATCCCATTCCAGATAAAAACCTGATATTTAAGTGGAAAAGGGTGGATGGAAAGCTATTGCCACCGGCCTTAGGGATTTCTCAGTTATTAAAAAAAAAAATAGCTGCACATAATTCATGTAGTCAATCCTAATTAGTTTGGGATTGAGCCGCAATAGTTGTTGTTGTTTAACCATTTATTTACTCCTATCAAAGTTGTGTTTTTCGATTTCCTCGATATTATTTGCAGTTATGGTAAAGGGTGCTCCGCAAGATATCAAAATGGAGAATCCATTTCAGTCAGCTGGACCTCCGAACGTGCTAGAAGTGGATAATGTGAAGGATGGTATACTTGTGAGAGTAGCAATGCCTGGTGTTAGTGAAGATGGGATTAAGGTGTGGTTAGAGAACAACACAGTTTACTTTACTGGGAAAGGAGAAATTGAGCTGGAAACTGAGAAATCAGGGAGGAAATATGGAGGAAGTCTTGAGTTTAAGACTGATTGTTGTAAAGCTGAGAAGGTTGAAGCACAAATCAAAGATGGTATTCTTAGAATGTTAGTTAAAGGTGAGATGGGAGAAGATTGATAGCTTTGAGTTTCTACTTTTTGTTTTCTTTTTCTGTTGATGTAATGCTTAGACATGATTTATAAAAGATTTATAGGATTTGGGAAATATTTGCTCAAATGTCAATGCTAGATGATGGTTGTTAGAATTTCTAATTATTAGGAGTGGTATTGCTAATATTTGGAGAAAAATGATACTTCTTGCTGTGTATACCTTGAATCGTAGTACTAACAGATTTTAAATTTTGTCTGTTGTTCATTGATTTCTTCTTCCCTTTTCTTCCTTTCCACCTTTTCTTGAGCCGAGGGTCGGTCGGAAATAGCCTTTCTACCTTTCTAGGTAGGGGTAAAGTCTGCGTACACACTATCCTCCCCAGACCCCACTTATGAGATTATACTGGGTATGTGTTGTTGTTTATCGATTAGTACTTCTGTTAAGCGAACAACATTTGATGAATACTTAGAGAGCCAATGAGCCTTGACATAATTGATAAAGTTGCTGTCATCACGGGTACGAGCCGTTAAAACAGCCTCTTGCAAAAATGCAAAAGGTTGCTTGGAATAGACCCTTGTGGTCCGGCCCTTCCTCAGACCCCTCACATAGCGTGAACTTAATGCACCAGGCTGCCATATCTTTTTAAAGAGCCAATGCTTAAAAATTGCTACAAGTTCAACCCATATGAAATTCTGATATTTGCTAACTCTTTAATTTAATGGACGAATTAAAGGACAAATTTTTCCTGCATAGATGAGTTTATGTTGATGGCTTCTATTCCATGGAGATGAACTATCAATAAAGATCCAGTACTAGATTAAATCTTCTTTTAGAACTTGAGCAGCACTGCCTTTCTCCATATTTGTTAACAGAAGTGTTTTATTTAGTTAACTGTTGAACTGATTCATGTTTTTCTTATCTGGTATAGTCTTTTTTGTTCTTTTTTTCTTTTGCTACTCAATTAGCAAGGAAACACACCTGCTTTAGGAGATTGCTTAACTGCAATAAGCATGTTAATGTGTTT